AAGCACCAGGTGCAGCGTGGCACAGCCAAAGGTACAAAGAGGATCACACAGGTCCAGGGGAGGCTCTGCTCTGCACCTGGCCAGGGGTCACAGCCTGGGATTAGCATGCAATGATAGGAAAGTATGAGTACCAGACTGAAGAAGTTTGAGGGACAGGAAGAAGGAAGGTGGGTGGAGATGGGGGGGGCCATGGGTGGCTACAGAACTGTTAGTGAAGGCTGTCAGCGCAAGAGGAGGGGTGAAGACGCAGTGGGCAGAGCAGGGCAACCCCCCTCCCCCGGGGTTTCTCCTCGAGCTGTGCACAGTCCAGTCCCCTGCCAAGGGCAAGAAACAGCCCTGGCTTCCCTGTGCTGTGTCCCACAAACAGCCTTCTGTCCCGTGTCATAGATAAAGACACTGAGGTTCCCAGGGGCTGATGCCAGGGTGACGGGAGCAGGACAGACAGGTGGGACACATGCCATGTGAGTGCTGCCTTCCTCCACCTCCCAGACTCCCTGAAATGCAGCCTAGGTGAAGAAGGTCGGGAGCTTCACGTAGGACAGGCCCTAGCCTGCCAGCTGGCCATAGCCGTCAGTCAGCTCTGGTCACTGCCTAGTCTGGGGTCCCACTTGAGGGAGCATACAAACTGCCTGCCGTCTAAACCAAGGACCCTCCCATATCTCAGGTTCCCCCTCACAATCCCTACTGGGGTCTGAACAACAGCCTGGCTTCTGGGACAATGCATAGGAGTTGAGGGGAGCACAGGGGTACACTTCCTATCAGAGAAGAGGGACCAACAACCTCTGAGGTTACAAGGCCAGGTCTGAGTTTTCTGGCAACCCCTATCCAAGGGACTGCGTCAGAACCTCAGTGTGTCTCAAGCCAGGCACATAGTTCAGGGCATTGACGGCTCTGTACCCGGCCGGCCTTGCCATTCAGTGTGTGAGCCTTGTGGCCTCTGACAGTACTCCCGGAGATCAGTGTGGCTTTGTGCAGGCTGTCTTCTGTCGGTGGGATTATTTTTGGCACCCTTGGTCTACTAGTGGCATTCCTCCAGGTGTGAAGAACTTCCCTCAGAACCCCTGGGGTTGGCAGGGGGGCCCAGCCTGGGATGAAGCATGGATCTTCTGGGCACTGAGCTCACTCACTCACTGAGGACTGTTCAGGCTTCACTCCAGGCAGCAGGGCTGGAGAAGGTGGACCGTGGTCCTGGGGTCCCTATGCCCTCCTCTGGTCCTCCACAGCTGGTCCTGTCCATTTAGCCCAGAGGAGCCAGCAACCACCACCGCCTGGGGTGCCAGTGAACAGAAAGGGCTCACAGTCCTTTGTTCTCCATCCCCACCCTAGGGTGGTGACAGGAAGAAGTGCCCCCCCTCTATCCTGAGACCCAGACGGCAGGAATGTGGGTGCCATGAGCCTGAGCCACCCAGAACTTCAAGGCACGTGCGGTTCCGAGAGCCCCTGGAGGTGGCTGTCCACTGTAAGAGGGGCCAGGGCCTTTGATGTGAGGGTCTGGGTGAGGTGGAGTGGGCAGGTACCCTTGCAACTCTGACATGGTCTGGGACTGTCAAGAAAAGCCAGTCTTTATTCTGCCTCCCCAGACAGAGCCCCTGTAATATGGGGCCATGAGGATCGGCCATGGTCAGTGGGAGGAACAGCAGCCAACAGGAGAGAATTGTTGTTGTTGTGATTTTAAAAAGCAGCACATGAGAGAAAGACAGAGCTTGGGTGGAGGGGTTTTTATTGGGGGAAAGTGCATGGAAAGGGGGAGGGGAGACCGGCCTCTGGGGACAGGAGCAGCAGAAGAGAAGAGAAAGGCAGAGAGAGGGCAGGGAGGAGAGAGAGAGACAGGTAGAGAGAGAGAGAGAGAGAGAAAGATGGGAGGTGGCAGGGCCCCTTTAAAAGGGAACACAGTGAATGTGCACAGATGGTGCTCTTAGTGGCTGCAGCTGAGGACTTATCCTGTCAGGACCCCAAGGGCAGGCCAGCACAGGTACCTGAATACTGACAGCTGGGACCATCAACACCTTCCTCTAGAGAGGGGTTATATTCAGGGTATCTCATCTCACAGGCCAGGCCAGTGAGGCTTGTCTCAGTACCTTTGTATGGTGGGGTGGGAGAGCTTGAGGACATTTTCCTAACTAAGCTATCTATGGTATCCTTCGCAGACATTGCCCGCAGGGACACCGCAGCTGCTGTCAAGGGTGAGTTCTGAGAAAGAGCCCCCATCTGCCAGCAGGTCCCCGGGCCTTCACCTCCACAGGGCAGAACAAAACACAGCCTCAACCACACCCCTGCCCCCACACCTCCAGTTTCTCTACACCCTGGGTAGTCTCCCGTGATTACACTAGAAGTGACCCCACCCCCACAGGGCCACTCCCCAGAGCCCTGGCATGTTAAGACAGCAACACCCCTACATGCGTGTGGTCTTCCTTAGGCAGATGAGGACAAAAAGTGATGTCCCATGGATTCCATGAGACTCACCCCAGGACCCTACCTGACCATCACCCAGGTGGCCAACTACAGGTCAACAGTCAGACGACATAAGCCTCACTCCACACCAGCCCCACCAGCAGAGAGAGGGTCCACCCTGCAGGGCCTCACTGGGGAGCTGCCCAGACTGACCTGCCACCCTCCCACAGTGCCTGGCCGGCCAGCTTCCTACGGTGGCTCTCTGCTCCAGCCAGCATCCTGCAGTGGTTCCCTATTCCTGTGGCTGACTCTGTGTGTGCTGTTTGGAGTGGTGTTGGGCCTGTACTGTGGCCAGGCCAAACATGTCACAGTAGTCCTGGAGGACCTCAGGGATTGGCTCCTCATCCTCATCTTGCGCCTGTGGCACATAGTCCTTGCCTGTTGGCACTGCCTCCTGCATCTCTGACATCCGGCTGAATGGCATTTTCACCTCTGAGCATCGCTGGAGGGTGATGGTGTTGGAGACCTAGGGTGGTTTGGGGGGGCTTGTGCGTAGTGGTGGAGCCCAGGCACTAAGACTAACCCCAAGACAGCTCTGCTAGCCAATGCTTGACAAACCCAGGAGCTCCAAGAGGCTGCTGTAGTTGATGCCATAGGAACCCCTACTACAGTCAGCACAGGCTGGGGTGGTGGGATTTTAAGATTGCATCAGAGAAAGAACTCAAGTATGGTGGCTGGGGATTCCTATGCTCCTGCCCAGTCCTCCCTCTTGTACCTCTGGCCTGGATGCTGTAATACGTGCTGTATAATTCTTTGAGGATGGGTGTCACCTGTCTCTGAGGGGCAGTTTGGGAAGGCAGGCCCCAAACTCCTGCTGCTTTGAGGACCGGGTCGGCTTTTGTCACAGAGACAGTCTCTGGGGCCTTCTGCAGTTCATAGAGCATGGGCGTCAGGGCCCTCCCCTCTGAGCCCATGTCTAATTCCTCCACTTAATACCAGGATTGGCGCTCCCTGTGGTGGTGTGGGAGCAGAGTCCAGCTCTGAAGCCAGCTGCTCTCAGGACAAACGTGTTTTTTAACTATATTTTTAAACATTTTATTCTGAGAGGTTCCACTTCCAGGGCCACAGACGAGGCCAAGGCCATCAGGCCTGCCCACCGGCCGCAGATCCTGTGTGTCTATTGAACCTATGCAGACAGAGTTTCGTCATGCATGTTCCGAGGTCAAGAAGCAATCGCACAGTAATGAACTTCTGGACCCCCTAGGCCTGCCTGGAGGGGGAGCCCTGCACACAGCAAGGAGACCCAGTCAGACAGACACCAGGGAGGATCCACCAGGGGGACCCTGTACCACCTTGGAACAAACATCTGACCAGGGTTTGGAGGCCAGGGTAAGGGTTGTGGCTGCCCTCTTAAGATGTCTCTCTACTTACGTGGGCAGAAACAGATCCCATATCCCATACTGAAGCATCTGCAGCCTCTTCGACCTCAGGACTATTACAGAAATGAGGGGTGTGAGACAGTTGTTGAAGAGTCCCTCCAGGGCCAAGCATGTTTGTCTAGGCACGAGAGCGCACCCTCCACCCGCCCACCCTCTCACCCCCACAACCCACAGGTCCTTTGCAGCTGTCATCCATGAGAACTGGGGGACCCACCATGCCCCCAGGACCCAGCAAGATGTGCCCAGAGTCCTAGCTCACTGGGGTGCCATCTCCCCCTCTCTGGCCTTCAGGGACTCCACACAGTGGTCTCCAGTTATAAAGTTTGGGGGCACAGTCAGAGAGGGCCCAGCGGAGAGAAACCCTGCTTCCAGGAGTGGTCCAGAGAGGACCATCACCATGGCCACTGTTGCCTGCACCAGCCCAGTTGCCCCAGGACCTGTTCCATCTCATCCACCTTGGTAAAAGACAGGCTCATTACTAGCCTGTATTCCAGATACCGAAACAGACGCTAAGAGAAGAGATGGAAGACCTCGAGGTCACCCTTCCGTCCCTGCTTCTGAGAGTGAATACCCTCTAGGAAGTGAATTGGTCACCCCACGTTTTACAACAGAGAGCCAGGGTTTCCCACCTCACACCCTGCATTTGCTGCAAAGGCCACAGGAAAAAGTGTGCCCAGCTCTGTAGGGGGCACAAAACTCTACCCTGGCTAGTCTGGGTTTCCGTTTTGCTTCATTTCCTTTTTACAGTGCAAACCCAGCAGAGCTAGGCAAATGGTCTGCCACTGGGTTACATCCCCCCAGCCCTATTTTATTTTAGAATAAATGGTCAAAGACATACACAGAGATACAGGTGCCTAAGAGACGCCGCCATTAAAAACCCATCCTCATGTCTCAGGGGTGGTGTAGGAATGGGGGTTGGGGGAGGGGCTCAACAGTCCAACTCCTTAAATGCAGAGGCATGAAGGACCACCCCCATGAGCACCTGGAACTGAACGGGACAAGGACAAGATCATAAACAGCTAAAGCCTGAGAGTCCAGGGCTGGGAGGTGGGGCCTGAAGTAGTTGGTAAAGACACAAACACCTCATCCACACAGAATCTTAGATGTTTCATCTTTATTTTGATACTTTGACTTGAGAATCAGACGCATGGAGGCTTAGGAGGACTCATCACCATCAGCTTCACCAGGAAGATGGACACAGGGGCTGCCTTAAAACAAGCTGGGGAGGAGCAGAGGCATCTTGGGGCAACCTGGGGACCACTCTGCAGCCTCTGCCTGCCTCTTGACATCCACCCGGAGACAGACACCCCTTCCCAGGGTCCAACAAAGTCCTGCCAACACTTGTAGGCCAGAGGCCCTTCCCCAGGAGTCCCAAGGACATTGCCATCTGGGGACAAGTCTAGGCATCTGAAGGTGAATCAAGGTCCCTCTAGATTTGACCAGGTCCCAGACCAACTCCCAGAATCCCCAAGAGGCAGCTGCCAATGGCAGACCTACACCTGAGGCAGATCCTAGGTCCCAGAGGCCCCTGCCCGCCCCCTGTTCCTTCAGGTACTAAGTGGCTTAGCCTTAGGGGCTGTGAGGCAGAGGATGAGGAAGGAGCTGGTCCTAGGGAGACAAAAGAGGGGTCTCTGGACTACACAGTGTTCCCATGTCCCACGGATGGGGGCTGGTGCGACAGTCTGGAAAAGAGACCGGGTCAATCTGGAGACCTCAAAACAGTTCTCCAGCCTCCACACGTCCTCCTGGGAGCTCAGCCAAGCCACCAGCAAAGCCCCCAAAGAAGGCGGGAGTGTCAGTCGGCCTGACCCTCATCTCCCCAGACAGGGCATCCCCCTTGCCCAGCACCCTGACCATCCTTGCTGGCTTCAATTCTTAGGGCCTGAGTGATCCCCCTCAGGCCCTCACAGTGAGCCTGGGCCCACACCTTCTCCCTGGAAACACACCAGCCACTGTTGGTAGACAGGGCTGGAGCACAACCTCAGACTAAATGGGGGCCAGGGCCACTAAATGCACTCACTGAGATCCAGATGGGCTGGGCCTCTTCCACCATGGGGGCCCCACCCCTGGAGTACAGAGGACCATGCCACCTAGAGAGCCGCAAAGGGAGGGGTGGGACTCTCCTACCACAGCAAGCAGCGCCACACATCCTCACGTGCAGAGGACAGAGCCCAGCCCTGCTGCTATGGGGAGGGCGTGTATCTCCTGGGGACCTCAGCTGAAGATGCTATGGGATGAAAGGCAGCCCCCTCTGGGAGGGCAGGGACTTGGGTGCTGGAGCCTGTGGCGGTGCCAAAAGGCCGCTAACCCAGCACTAACCTCTGCTCTGCAGTCCTATTCCCATCCTCACACACGCTCACATATATGGGCAAATGGTCACACAGAGGCGGAGTATGGGTCACACTAACCAAGGCCAGGGCAGGAAGCCAGCACCCCATCCCCAAGTCTCTGGGTCTCTGTATCATCACTGTTAGGCTCTCCATGGGAACACAAATGCTCTGCTCTTGGTGGGCGGGGCCAAGTGGCACATGCCTTGGCCAGCCTGGGTGGGGCCCCAGCCCCAGTGCAAAACTTGGGAAAGGGGGCCACCCTTGCACAGCCTAGATGACAGCACTCTTCTCCCCCTGGAAGGAGGTGCGGGAGGCTGGCCTGGCCAGCAGCAGCTCCTTCTCATGAACCAGGCTGTCCAACAGGTCTTCCTGGCGGTAGTTGTGGTAAACCTTCAGGAACGCCAGGGTGGT